CTCTCTCTCTCTCTTTCTTTCTTTCTTTCTTTCTTTCTTTCTTTCTTTCTTTCGACACAAAGTCCAAGTTGGTTCTGAAATTGTGGGCAATCAGGCTTCAGTTGTCCAAGTGCTGGGATTAGAAGTATGTGCCAATATACCTGGCTGCTAACTGAACAAACTTTATACAAAGATTTTAATTCATTATTTTGAATATTTTATTATAGGTTTAGCCTGATCTGGAGTCATCTTATCTGGGTCACTATGTTGCTCATACCATTCTTCTAGTTAAAATTTGTTTTCGCCAAATCAAGTTAGATTTCCTTGTTTTAACTGTCCAGAAAATACTGAAAATTTGGCTTAGTTTTGCCTTTGTATCATTGATTCAACCACTTTTGATTTAGTTGAAATCACATCCCCTTCTTTCTGAAGCTTAAATATTTAAAACCAGCATTAAAGCTCTGGCCAAGTCTCACAGTGATCAGCAAGAACCTTTGAAGCCATTTACAGACACAGTGTAGACATTCATCCTTATTCCACCCAATAGTTCCATCAGATGATGCAGGAAGAACTATATGGTCCAAAAAGGTTAGGCATATGTTTCTGTTTCCAAGATTCTTCATACACATTAAGACAGCCCATGCATCAGGTTGCTAGAAAGTAGAGAAGATGGTTCTCTGTATGTCACAGCTTCCAAAATGTAAATAGTAGGACAGCAAAACCCATCAGATTTCTATGAAAACAGTGTTTGCTCTAGTTGTGTTTTCCTAGTGTGTGTGTGTGTGTGTGTGTGTGTGTGTGTGTGTGTGTGTGTGTGTGTGTGTGTGTTAACAAGTTTGGAGAAACTACTGATTTAAATCATTTTTTTAAATCTTCTTTTAGACAGTCACCGATTACTTTACGTTAGAAAATATTTTTGAGTAGACTGTATTGTTTCAACTCAGATCAACTTTCTGATCTTTTATCATTAAATGTCTAGGTAATTTTCCATGTTCTCAACATTATTGAAAGGAGAATGTGTCAGTCAATGTGGTTGGAATGCCTGACATTCTACATTTTTTCCTACTATCTTTCCTTAAATATTCTACATTTTTGTCTAGCTATTTTACCATGGCAAGGCAGAGAATGCTCTATACATATTTTAAAGATTTTTTAAATGGATATTTACACACAGGTATATGTGCACATGAATGAGGGTACCCTTGCAAGGCAGGACAGGAAGTTGGGTTCCCTAGAACTGGAGTTACAGATGGTTGGGAGTCACCTGTAGTGGATGATGGGAACAGAACTCAGGTCCTCCGGAACAAGAGCAAGTACTCTTAATCTTGGAGCCATCTCTTCAGCTTATAGAGCATGTTCTACAGTGTATAAAAGTAATACATTTGAAGAATGTGAAAAAAAGCATTTCTCTTATGGTAAGGCTATGATTACCTTGAAATATCTAAAGCTGCATCCCTAAGAAAGGGGTGTGTGTATGCACAACCACATGTGTGAAAGTGTGTATTTAGGTGGCCTTTGATTCTTAGAAGATAATGGATTTGGTTCAAATGCCCATAGTATTTTCAGAGGCCAGAGTGAAAAGTGGATTTTATTAAGTTTAGAAGATTTGAAAAATGTCCTTAAGGAGAACATCCCAACACCTACTAGGATATGATAGAGTCCTCATTGAGATTTCAAAGTCCCACTCATGGAGCATATCCTAAAATGTCAATAAAAGACTCTTTATTCATAAATAACTGATAAGCAGTAATTTATGCCTGTACATTTATCTCGAAAAGTCGATAACCATCCATTTTTTTTTTTTTTTTTGCAAACTACATAAAACATCCAAACGGGCCATTTTGTTCAGTACAATATAACATAGCTGTTTGGCATTACCAAATATATATGTATATATATTTATAGATATGTACATGTGCTGAAAAAGAAGCCGGTGCATCCTTCTCTAAGGAGTCCATCCAAGTATTTACTGTACAACATTCAGAATTTACACTGATAATACAAGGCACAAAAAGTGTGGTATGAAGCCAAGGCCATGCTTTGCTTAGACCCTCTCCTCTGGCTTGCTCACTCCTTCAGCTTCATGTCCAAGTTAGTATTCAGCTCTGCTTTAAATATTATTTCATACTTTTTTGGCTTTGAACACACCAAATAAATGCAGAGAGTGGTATGGGTTTGAAAAAAATGAATCATTTGATAGAACACCCCCATGTACCTTCCCAAAATAAAAAAGAACAAAATGAAATAAGTTTTAAATTCTTCTATGTAGAAGGGGAGAAAAAATATCACTCACGTTTCCAAGTTTGGGCTAGGAAAATGAGCCAGCATCCCTCTACCTGCCTGTGTTTACAATACTTCTAGGTCAAGATTTGCTGGAGTATGTGTATCAAGCAGACCTAATTATGAAGAATGGAAATTCTGTTCTTCATCTAGTGAAGACAAGGAGACGGCTCTTTTCCTGACTGGGGAATTCTGACACTTGGGTATTTCCCCCTTAATTGGGAAGTTTTCCATGGGAGCAGGAAGCATCTATGAGAGATCTGATGGGGGTTTCTATGCTTAGCTTTTCTCCCAGGAGGCCCTGAGGGCTCTAGCCTGAGGACTCTCCCTCTTACCCCTTCCCACGTTTGCTAACGAAGGAATATTAGCATTGCTGCTTCCACATTTGAGCAGAATACCCGTGTTTCAGGAGAGGGGTCTCGTTGTATGACATTTGGCTTACATAGTCCCCTTTACCATCACGCTTTCATCAGAACCCCAGTTAGATCAGTACCTACCAGAAATGTCTCAGATTTTAAGGTTATTGAACAACTTTCTCAATTCTGGAATTTACGTGTGAATCATGCTTGAATTAGATGAAATTTTTCTTAGAGTTAGCCAAATTTAAGACAAAAGGCATATATTCATTATACCCATGCCTTTTGTGAAAGTATTTGAGACGTATTCCCATTCAGGTAAAGAAAGACATTACCAAATTCACTCATATATAACGGAATCTAAGGTATAACTTTGAAGAAAAATGATACAACTCCTGTTGAACTTAATACTGGTCAGGGCAGGGAGAATTTTAAGCTTAGGCCTAGCTAGAATGTTTACTGACTTTTTTCATCTTTGGATTCAGATGGATGGTAGGTTCAAAGACATGAAGTTGAAATGTTCCTGTCTTAGGCCCACTTCGTGAGGACACTCCAAATCCATGATCTTCACAGCAAAAGGAAAAAGCAATGAGTAGCTGCTTCAAAAACCACAATTATTCTATGCGAGATAAACTTCCTACTTGAGATCACAGTACTACACACTAGTGACTAATAGCCAGGCCTGGTACCATCCATCCCCTTTGATCTTCAGAAAATGATTACAGTCTACAAATGGCCATTTCAGCTTTGTTGGTGACCCTGTCGTGGGGATGCGAGGAGTCCACGGTAGACACTGGCTCTCCTAGAAGTTGCTTCTGCGAAAGACACCACATGCTGTCAACACAGCCAAACAGCTTTGTCACCTCAGCTTTTGAAAGAGTTTGGAAAAGGAAAACACAAGATATGCAACACAGCTAAGATTAGTTAACAGTTTCACTTTTGTGACATTTTGACAAAATACGTTTTTTTGCTTGTAGTTCAGGAAAATTCTATGCGGACAAAACAGTGGCAACTATGAATTGATGGCCATTCAGCGGTTGGCCCAAAGCATCAATGTCCAAATACAGTGCTATGACAATGAACACCAAGGGGCTGATAAAACGTTGTCACCATCGGTCAGCCCACATTTTTGCTCTCCCAGGAGCTGTGGCTGTCACCTGTTGTCCAGGCAACGGGAGTTACTAAGGATTCAGGCTTTGCAATGCGTCATGAGAGACAGAATGAAAATGGGCCACGCAGTGGGCCGGAGAGGCACGTTTCTCAGCTCCTTCCTTATTTCTGCTAGAATAAAGACCTCAGAGAATGTTGCCTTTAGCGTGTCTGAAAGCTCTATCATTCAACACATTTACAGAGGCCAGACAGACCAAGAAATTGAAAACGTCTGAAAGAAAAAAAAAAAAACCAAACAACCCCCCCCCAAAAAAAGCCAAGAAAACAAAAACAAAAAACAAAGAAACAAAAAAAACAAAAACAAAAAACAAACAAACAAAAAAAAACCAAAGCATTTCCCAAAGATTTTGTTAACATTCCGAAAGTCACAGGTAAATTCGGTGAAAGTGTATAAAACCATTCATGCCATTTTAATTTCCTACCTTTGCTTCTCATGTTTGATATTTAGAGGTTTTGTGGAGGGAAAAATCACTGCAATAAATCCAGATATTTTACTCCAAAGAGAACCCTGTGTGATTTGACTTAATAGTTCTTCTCTCAGCTAAATGAAAGAAAAAAAATACCAGGACCACAGCAGTTTGAGATAAAAATAATAAAAAATAAGGGAAAAGTTCCTCTCTTTAAAGGAGCTGTATCAATTCCTTTTCATCTCTTACAAAAAGGCCAATAAAATTTTTGTGGGAGTACATCCGAGTTTTATGAGTCTGCCCGCACTGGTAAATGAAGTTTGCATTTAAATCCACAGAACAGGCTTCCTTTTGGTTTAAAGGATGCTAATGTAAAATGCTAAGACTGTATATGTGATGTTGTAAAGACTATAAATTAACTTTACGATGCTGTAGTCTGGCAAAACTGTGGATCACACCATTTTGGTAGCATAATTTCCATTCGTGTTTGAAGTATAACTATTAGCCTAATGTCTCCGAGCACTGAGAAATTTGGCATTAAGTTGGCTATTTTTGTAAAAATTTTATGTAACCTACCAAATATTTAAGGCCACTTTTAGTTTTTGCTTCATCTTATACTAGGACAGTGACACTTTGAAATTCAGTGCCTGGAGTCATGAGTAAGCTTCTTCCAAGAGGGACATTCGTGTTGTGACAGGTGAAGATAATGGAAAAACTTGAGGTCACAGTGACCCATCACACTTTCAAGTGTGAGCTAACACTGTGTGACCTGCAGACCCTTCCTCAACACATATGATCCCTTGGTCTGTAAATCTCACAGACCAGGGTTCTCTTTGAAATGTCATTGTAAAATATTACACAACCCTAACATGCAAAGACTGCAGAATTTAACATATTTATTTCAAAATCCTGTGTAGCATCCTAGCAGAAAGAAGAGAGATGTAAAGAAGGAAACTCAAAGAGTCAAGGTGAATCTCACAGAACCGTGGGCTGGGATGTGAGGAGCCTTGTGTTCACTTCCCCCTTATCGCTGCATGGGATATTTTGCTCAAGTGCACTTATAATCACAGGCCAAAAGAGAAACAAACAAAACACAAAACCTGAAGCCAGCAGGGGAGCTGCATACACTTGACCAATGTTTATGTTGTTCATGTTACCTCCCCTTAAAATAACCTCCATAGATGCCAGGAAGGAAAGTTACAGCTTTTTATCTGCTTATAATATTATAAAAAAGTTTTAAAAATCTACAAAGAACATGTGCAGGCTCACACAACAGATAAACAATTATAAGGCCAATTGGGGAGGGGGAAGAAGAGACATGGCTAGGGTGGGGAATTTAAAACAAAAATCTTCCAAATGGACATTAATATGAGATCTCTCTAGAATGTGTTGTAAATGGTTTATTACCTAACAAGGGATGCAGATGGAATCTGCATCTCATCCTGCCACTCATCACCTATCCAGTTTGTGACTCATCACCTATTCCTATCTCTTTTTTTTTTTTCAAAAAAACTTATCAGTGATGCCATATGGTTTTAGTTTTATGCTCTTTCTCTTTCTTCTTCATAAGGATGAATAAATAAGTTGAGAATACTAGGAAAAAGGTGTTCTCCTGACCCAGATATGGGATTCTGAGTATGCTTGACAGTTCTAAGGTGATCTGTTTGTTCAATAGAATAAGCCTTTGGTTCCTGAGCAAAGCAATATGCATTTTTTTGATTTGCACATGGCGAAGTCTTCCACGTAATATAGGTGACCAGATATATCACATATTAGTTAGATAAAATGGCTAACACATTCAAGAATTCTTCAATGCCTTATCCATGGGACCATAACTTCAACCTGTCTTTAGGTCTTTTCCACTTGGGAAGAGATTGCAAACATTTGTTTTCAAACAAAGGGCCCATAAAAATAAAAGCATAATCATATCCTCATTACCAAGGGTTCTCACTTCTCCTATTTCTGACCATTGTTTTTCAAATGTAGTCAGCCTCAAAGTAGCTAAGTAGCTGCCTGGAATTTAGTGTAGGTATCTGTCTTGGGCTGTCTTCATTGTGGATAGTTACTGAAAGCATCCACCAGAAGATGAATATATCTGTTCATCTTGAGTCTCCCAGGGTATTGGTCAAATATATAATGATAAAAATGATATACTTGGATACAAAAGTGTAACAAAGCATAAGATGAAGCTCACAAATCATCTACAGATTTCAATTCTCTACAATGCCACTGCCTTATATTAATAAAAATCATAAAATGGGAGCTATGAGTTAACAGTACTAAGGAGAAAGTATACATGGTGAGACCAGGCAGTCAGAGCACAAAGTCTCTCTGAATGATTCGTGTGGTTTCTAGGATGGTGTAGTGGGGTATTCTATTCCTTGGATGCAGTTACTTAGGTCCTACTCAGAAAAACTATCAGGTAGGTTTCCAAAATTGGCAGCAGGATGTCATGTCCTAAAGCTCCATTGAGACATACTGTGACAGCATAGTATAAAAAGTTAGAAGAGTTCCAGAATCTGAATGGAAAAGCACAGTAAAACACATTTCTTATAGGAAAAAATATTGGAGAAGTTGGCTTAATACCCATCTCCTAGAATCAGAGCTTACTCGAAGCCTGGAACATCTGCAGTCTCTATATTTTCTTGGACCTGGGCTAGCCTCTCCTGTCTCCACTCTACGGAGTGAACTGTGTTCTAACAGCACTCTGAGATTTGAGTAGTTTGGCTAGGAACAGAGGTTGTCCTGATCTGTTAAGTTGGGAGAGATATGTTTCCATATTGAAACACATAACCACGTTTTTACTATCTCCATCCTCCAATCTGTCAGGACGGGGAGAGAAATGAGTTTTGTTTCTTGCGGGTGAGAAATGAAGGTGAGGTACCAAGAACCAGTTTGAGGTCTACCTTGCTTTTCCATCTTGTCTCAATTAAGTGACTCATATTAATAAGTGCTGGTGTGATGTCCTCAGATTATCAATTCTAAATGCCCTCCCCACCAATGGTGACATCATACTAATAGGCTGGCAATCCGGGTTTCACTTCTGAAAGTTAGGCTTGCCATGATCTCCAAAATCCCAGATGCCAGTTGGTCGGAAACTGAAAAATCTAGTATCAGAATCAGCTGGCCCTGTGGGGCAAGTCATTCTAAACCTGTTTCCAACATGCAATTAATCTCTGCCATCCCAGCTTTATTGTAGTGTATCTATTTTTCAGAACTACTCTTATCTACAGGTACCTTCACCTCTCTCCTCAGCAGTCCAAATCTGAGGAGTTTATCCAATGTTTACCCGTGTGGAGCCTCAGAGGAGATAGCAGGGTCCCCTTCTTTTATATTTTATTTTTTGTCCCCTGCTATGAACTTGTCTTACCTACATCAAACTCATTTTCTTCAACCAGGGATTTTCAGTGACTCTCAATAAAGGCTGAATTCCCCCAAATGCCACTGGGCAGAAGTCTGCCTCTTCTTCCCCAGTTGAAGCCACTTGCCCTGAAGCTGGCCATCACTAGTGCTGCCTCAAGAGGGGAGGGACACAGACTAGAGTCCATTTTGCCTGCTGTAGTTGAAGTCAGCTTCCTCAAGCTGGGACTCTGTGATGTTTGACAGTTTCGTGTGTGTCCTCCCAATCTCTTCAAGGGCGCAGGCCAGTGAGTCGAGATCCCCATCCTGTTGATGACGAGCTTCCCAGAGGTTCAAAATGACAGCCGAGGGGCTACTTTGTGTAGCAAAATACGACAGATTCCTAGATAAAATTAAACAAAAGGCAAATTAACGGGAAGGATGAGACAAATGATCACTGTCAAGGGATAAAATTGGACTTTAAAGGTTTGTTTATTTATATTTATATGTGCATGCCCACTTTCACTTATGTACCACAAGTATGCAGGTGCCCTAATAAGCCAGAAGAGGATGTTGGATCTCCTGGAACCGTGCAATTGGGTGCTGCCACGTGGGAATGAAACCAAGGTCATCTGCAATAACACTAAGTACCCCTAACTGGTAAACCATCTCACCAGCCCCTAAAACGAACTTTAAAAGGCAGCAATAAAACAGTGGTAGAAAGTTACAGAAAGGTAGGTCTGGTTTGCATCCCAACATTCAACTACAGTCATACTACAGAATGATCACTGTGGCTTTCTCTTTTGCATCTTGCCTTGGTCCTCCCCTTTCTTAAGCTGCATGTATGAACATGTATGTATGTATGGGTCCCTTCTGATTGTTCTCTTGAAATGTTCTTTTACACTAGTTTGTATGATGAGGTAAATTCATTCCTTTTTATTTTCAAATATTTGACTCCCTACCTCCTTGGCAAATGCAAGGGCTGCCAAGGGTTTTGTCTTCGATTTCTGACCACCCCTTTTTTGGGTGCTTAATGTGTACCTCCCATTTTCTTAGTTAATTAAGCTGTTTATTGGGTTTATTATAGCCTTAAGGGTTGCTGCAATTACATATCCATCTACCACTTCAAACTCAGTGCATCAGAAATTCTCCTCTGAATGCTTCAGAATTACTAACTCTAAGCACCAGTATTTATGACTTTTTTCTGATCCCTTACAGTAGGATGTTTGATTTTGACTCTTCCCTTTGTTGTTTCTTTCTTTGATAAACTCACCAGCTTTTCCGTTCTACTCCAGGGGACAGACTTCATTTACATCTTAGCACATCAGAATGTGTATCATAGTAAAGGATTTGGAACTCTGCATCTAAACACTGAACACATACTGCATTCCTACATTCTATTTATCAAGTCATAAGGAATCCCGTATTCATGCCCGGCATGGTCTAATCTCATTGAAGCAATGTAGACACACACACACACACACACACACACACACACACACACACACACACACACACACACACTTCCCTTTTATCTAGCACCCCTACTCTGTCTTTTTTTCTTGACTACAAAATGCTGAAAGCTAAAGATCATATTGAATCATTTCCAGAATCTGCCAGAGCATTTATCATAATACTATGACAGGTATTTATTCAACATCCATTAGCTGACATTAACTGAGTAATTGATTCTTACATGTCTTTTCTAGATGACATAGCATCCTCAGTGAAAGGAAAAAAAGAACTCCAACCTTTTGGACAATAACTTTCCTATGATGAGGGCTAAGACAACACAAAGGATTAAAGGTCACTGTTTTTCATGGGGACTTTTGCAGTAAGGACAGAAATGTCATCCCTGATGAAACTGGAGTGTTTTGAAAAGATTTTGCCGAGCTGTTCCTATTTTGAAGATAGTATCATTATCTACCAGTCTTCCCAGCAGATGACCACAAAGTGGAATCCTGGAAAGAGCACTGAACAAGGGAAGAGGAACTTTCAATCATATATGACTATTTACAGGAAACACACATTTGTAGTCAGCTGGCTGTCAAATAGCACAAATAGCAGGATTATGACATATACCTTTGACTAAAAATAATTTTTAACCAAGACAAGGAGAAGCCTGGCTCAGGAATGTTAACAGTAGTCTCTAGATTCTTTAATATTTTCTGGCCTTCCTCTGCCTGCCCCCACGCCTTCCCTCCCATTCACCTACCCCACTCACCCCTCCACACTAACAGAAACAGTAAACCCTGCTTGAATACTTGGAGGGATTCTGGTTCCTCTTACTGAAAAACTTCGATTTGAACATTGACATTTCCTCAAGTTTTGGGAATGATGTTTCTAGAAGTTGCTGGATCTTACTATATTCCCTTTGCTGAGGCTCAGGCAGTATAGAACTAAAAGGGACAGTGGGGAATTAGACAGACCTAGAGGCCAGGCTTCAATAGACTCGGGCTAGTTGGTGTGGCCATGTATTTTCATGTCAGTTAACAGTTTCTTAGAGGAATCATAAGTCTTTATGACCTCTACTCTTGTTAAAAAGGCAAAACCCACAGGTTGGGCTGTGGCTACCCTAGCCCTGGGCTGGTACGCCAGGATTCCTCCTCCTCCTCCAAACAAAATATAATCTGTAGCCAAAAGAGCAATAGCATTGCTCCCATTTTACTAAGGGATGCTGCTCTTTTGTATTTTCTATTAAACAACGTTAGACTTTTATACTGCAACTGGAATCATAAGGATCCCAATGTTAGACCAGGTGTATTTCAGAGGTGGACAAACCTACCAAGGCTAGAGAGTAAGTAGTCCTGTCTTTGCGGATCTCCGATGGCCTCTCTGAAGTGAGTGCACTCTACCATGGCACCACAGAAGCAACAAGAGACAATGTTCATGTGAATGATGGCTGGTTCTCGAAAACTTGATGGAGTAAAGCTAGAATTTGATTATCACGTCCTTTCCACTTTTCTCACATTACTACTCTGGTCGTGTTTTCCCCCTTGATACATTTATAAAAGAAACAACTATTCTTAGCTTGTGACAGACAGGGAAAGGGCCAGATTCGTTCGCCGTGTAGCCATTGTGCTGTCTCTGACCAGTGCTCTTATGACTTAACTAGATGGCTAAAGCTGAAAGCCAATCCGAAGAAACTAACTTCCTACTTTGTGTTTCCTTTGAAAAAAGAATCTAGATGAACAAGGTTGCTGAGACCCATCTGACTGCAGAACTCTTAAGACATTTATTTTTTTTACATGTTTAGGGATTTTTGGCACTACAAGAGAAAAGCTATAATAACTAAATAGTGAAATAATAGTTTCTAGGTGGCAAATCTTGATCCCAATCAGTTTTAAATATATCAAGGAGCCCACAGTGGGCAGGAATTCTGAACACACAGCTCAGGAAAATCAAGCAGACTAGACAATGAATCCTGGGAAGCCCTGTTAATGTTCTGGTCTATAGAGTAGACATCCAGGGCTAAAGAAACTGAATGCCTAAAGGAGGCAAAAATGAAACTCTCAATTGACACAGATCTCTGAACATACTGTAGCGAGTGACATGTGCTTCCTGAAGTAACTTTGAGACTCCTTCTTTGAATTTATACAAACACATTCAGTATAACATATAAATTCCAAGTTTCTGATTATTTTAGTAGATATAGGATCATACCAGTCTTAACCATATGATCTGCCTTGCCATTAACAGGAATGTGTTTACCTGTCAATAAGTAGAAAAAAAAAAACCTGTAAAAAAAAAAAACTAAACTAAACTCTTATTCCAGCAGGGTGTTCCTAAAAGACAGTGGTGTCATTTTATGGGGTGCATATATGCATTTGCAATGTGATTTTTTTTAAGTGGTAAGCCATATATACAACTGGCTCTCTCCATACCACAGTTTTGAAATTATTCAGAACCTAATATATCAGTCCCATTCTTCTTTACAGTAACTCTGATGCATTTGGATACCAGGTGGTAAAAACACATTTAGCGAAACATTACTAGTAAAAAATGGAATTCAGGCCAGGCGGTGGTGGCAGCGCACGCTTTTAATCCCAGCACTCAGGAGGCAGAGCCAGGGGAATCTCTGTGAGTTTGAGGCCAGCCTAGGCTACCAAGTGAGTTCCAGAAAAGGCTCAAAGCTACATAGGGAAGCCCTGTCTCAAAAAACCAAAAAAAAAAAAAAAAATGGAATTCATGTTAAATTTAAGCAGTTTCCAAAGTCAGACAATGGTTCCTCCTCCATGTCTGTCTGTCTGTCTGTCTGTCTGTCTGTCTGTCTCTCTCTCTCTCCCTCCCTCCCTCCCTCCCTCATTCTGTCCCATTCTCTAGCTGAAATGAATAAGCCTAAATATTACCCCAAACTAAAAATTCTCAATATTCAGAAGTACAGCTGAAAAAAAAACAATATATTTTCTTTCTCTATAGAAAAATTTAGAGAGGTGGGCTTTTGTTATGCTCATTATAGAGACTGCAGGTTGCTAATCTATGTACTAAACTTCACAGAACCTTGTGTTGTAGCTTTTTTTCAAATTCTCACCAACTGAAGTAATTTAGATAACTAAGATTATTTTGGGTGGTACCTCATGATAATTTGGCATCTACCATGCAGATGTCATCGACCACACAGACAGAGGGACTAACACCTGAATGTTGAGGTTGACTTGAGAATCTTTTAGGTTTTAGGTCAAATCATTTTCCCAGAGTTCCAGACTCAAATGGCTTGTTCCTCTTTGGGATGGTCACTGAATAAGTAAAGACAAACTGTAGGATACTGGAAAGTAAGGGTCACACTAGGGTGATGAATCACATTTATCTATGTAAGCTCATGAGGTAGTGATGGTTTATTAATTTCAATTTAATTATGTTTTGTTGAGCATTTCAGTTTTCTATACAACCCAGTTCCTTTTGGTTTCTCTTCTGTGATTAATTTCATCTTTTAGACTTCCCCATGACCTGGCTATACTTATAATCTGGGGCTTTCTGTAGAAGTCAGGGCAGGGTTACCCTTACCAGTATCACATGTTAGGCATGGGCCAACTGATAAAGCCATATGTGATGGCTATTCTTGGTTGTTAACTTGACTATGTCTGGAATGAACTACAATCCAGAAATGGAGAGCACACCTGTGATCCCAGTCTTGAGGCCGGAAGGCACACCTTTAATCTGGGCCACACCTCCTGCTGGAAGCCTAGATAAGGACAAGGGAAGAAGGAGGGAGTGTGCTCGTTCTTCACCTGCTTGCCCTCACCTTGTCAGCACATCCATTCCTTCACTGGCATTGGAGCCTACTTCTTCAGGATACAGAAGACCAGCATGGACGCCCAGCCTTGTGGGACTAGGTTTTTGGACTTCCATTCACAACTAGCCATTGTTGGACTGCAGTCTCTAAGTCATTCCAATAAATTCCCA